ACGAAGAATATTTTCAGAAACAATAAATTAATTTCTGACCATTTATAGTATTTTTTTCGTATTCATTCCGGAAGCTTATAGTGCGCCGCATGTATATATTATAAGACATAGTTTCTTCTCGAATTTTTGCTTTATTTTAATTGCGAATGCTGTCGTCTGTTAAGCTTGTACTTTGTCTAACAACATTTCGTTATATGACATACGTGACCATGTAAAGTTTTAATATCATGACAACAATCACCCCATGCTATATTTTTAACCGACTTCAAAAAAGGATGAGATTCTCTATTCAGTATTTTTTGCATATTACGCGGTTACTCCGGCCATTTGTGAATCGATTTTCAAGGTTCTTTTTTTGTTGCAAAAGAGCAACTCAGTATTGAATATAGAAAGAAAATATAAGGGTGGCAAACAAAGGGATGAATCCGGTTTCGCGCACTTTCCGGTAACCGATTAAAAAACTTTGCAAACAGATGTAATTCCACGAACTTTTGATGTCCGTTTTTTTATATATTTGGTTATGATTATTCTATAATATCAACCAACCTACATCGAACGACAGAATAGAAGACACAGAATTATGGTAATTTTTTTTTTGCTTAAAAAAATTCAGGCTCGAAATTTATTTTTCAACAGGCCAATTCTGCGACTGCTCTCCATTGACACGAATTTCGATCAACAACCTAATTACACTATTTGACATTCAGTAGACACGATCTAGGTAGAAAATTACGTGTAATTGCGTGGTGTGTGTTTGTATCAGAGACGTATCGAACGAATATGTCAATCTCAAAATCAATTACAAACCAAATCGTTTTGTCAAAGACTCTTCTTCTGTATATTTAGTTTTTTCTGTTTGTCATTTTTAGTCAAAAGTTAAAGAGACAAAACTATGGATCATCAATGAAAACTATCGAATAATTATCACGATAATTATCAAAGGAAATAAATATTAGGATAATTTCCAAACGCTATCTTTATACTCGTACGTTACATGTATTACCACATCTACCTTATTCCTTGAAAGAACATTAATGTCTAACGCGGTCGGGTAGAACAGTAGATTTTTTTATATAAAATAGACATATGCTTGTTATGCGTTTATCTAAAAATGTCTATTCACTCTAGCCTTGAATAGTTATAAATTATACTTTTCGGGAAATACAGATCCCGGGAGTGTACTCCATTCCTTACTGATACGCATTAGAAAGGAGGAAGCAAAGCGCTTCGTAAGAACATATGGATGGTGCGAGTATATTAATGACGTAAAGATGGAGAATAAGAAATAAAGCCAGCATCAGCAAGAGCTGTTTACAGTCTTTGGAGTCAAAACCATTGGCCCGTAGGGTCTCAGTGCAAAATTAATAGACAGTCTGGAAAACCCAAGGGCCACGTAGCTACCTTGCCCAACACATTAGCAAAGCCTTACAAAGGGTAACCCTGCCAGCCTTGTGAACCCAATTTTATTTATATACTTAATTTAATCCCAGTTTTAATTTCTCGTATTTAAACTTTTACTGTACCTGTGTTTTCACTAATAAAAGAAATAAAGCCTTTTAAAGTATTGAAAGACGTTAATGTCTTTCAATTTCGTCTTTTAGTTAGCTAGCAAGTACGCAGTAACATGTAGACGATACATCCGGATGCTAACTACGGTGCCCCGCGGCGAGATTAAAGAGGAGTTTTCCTGGGTTATTAGAATACCAAGAAATACTTAATGGTGCGTCAAATAATTGGTAGTTCAGCCAATTATGGCGTGCGCCTTACCTAATCTAAATACAGTTCGACACATGATGTACCAAAGTAGAGTAGAGAAGTTATATATTGTAGTAATCAATATGTGATGTTGAGTCAGTGGCACTGAGGTGCAAAAATTGCAGTTACTTCGTTTTGGTAGATAATGAGCTTAAGCAAGTAATGATACCATGACAAAGACCTCTACATTAAAGGAAATAAAAAAAATTAAAACTAAGTAAACATATTATTGATATAAAATCGAACAAAAACAAAAGGAAAAATTATTTGATCCGGCAGGTCTCTAGCAAGCAACTTTTCGTCAAACCGGGGCTATCGCTCTCCTAACTGAGCTGTAAAATGAGCGATCACACTTTATGAATTTCTGTATGTCCTTGTTGCATATCTTTGTTATTTCGTTTTAACGGCTTTTTTGCCGTAACGCCACCTGTGAGAAACATATGAAACGTTTTTCACTCTTTTCATTTTTCGTATCAATAATAACAACAAACTAGTGGAGTATTATATAACTAGGAGTATAATATATGAATATCAAGTAGTAAAAATATCATCATATACATATTTCAGTACACATAGCAAAAGGAAGCATTTTTCGTATCTTAACGAATAAGGATCAGGTGGAATGGGGGTGAAATGCGCACTTACCTCTATATTTTAAATTTTATAAAAAAAGAGAATAAAACCAGTAAGACATATTTATACAAAATTTTGCATAATATTGTAGACGCAACTTTTTTATTAGAAAACATATTTTTTCGAATATTTCGAAAGAATCAAAGAAGGAATCGAAAAAGAACTAACTTTTTACCGTTAAATTTAGTAAGACGTGTTGTAGTGGGTCCTTATACGATGTAAAATTTAGTGAAATTGAAATAATTATCTGACTCTTCGTTTGCGAATAAAATTTTCAAGTCCGACTTGAAAATTTATATATAATCTCAATTATATACGTAATGAATAATCATAACGTAGATATAATAATATATAATATAACGTATAATTAGTTATACATAAGTATAATTAATTGTTCAAATATTTTTTCTGTTTACTATTTTTAGTAATAAGTAAAATGTATCCTTCAGGTTTGTAAAAAAAAATATTTATTCCAGTAGTAAATTTAGTGGATGCAAATTGCCTCTATTTCCAGTTTTATAACTGCAAATTTGAAATTTTGCCTAATTTAGTGTTTCACGCTATATAATGGTTCCGAAGGTTTTTAATATTTGATAAATAACATATTTGCGATAGAAAATCAAAACGAATAAATACCTATGGAATTTCCATTAGGCTTACCGAAAAAAGTTACCACTTCATAAATGTTCTTCTCCATACATTCTTAAGCAATTTAATATTTACTGGACAGAAACGACGTTCCGGTATTAACGACCACTAACGAATGTAAAACCGCTAACTAGTGTCTACACTTTACGACTGAGAGGTTGATGAAAGTCCCCTAGGTTCTTAATTAAGTTACGTATATGTATATATATATATATATATATATATAGGTAGCTATCTTCACGCACACAATTGAAAATAGTCTACAACTTTTTATTGAATATTTAGTAATCAGAATTGGCTTGGTGGTAACAAATTATACCCTTTGTTTTTCATAGTCTTGTTACTTTGTGCTTGATGACATAGTGTTATTTTTAATTACAAATTATTGTATTTATTAATTAAGCATTGACTATAAAGCCACCAGTTTAAAAAGAAAACCAATAATCGAGAAATTTGAAACGTAATAAATTTAAATTTAAGAATTAGTTCGTAAAAAACCGTAATTAGAAAATCCGCCATTTTTTTAACACAACATATAATAATAATTATTATTATTTATTACCATCAGGTTGAAAAGGTAAAAAATATATATGTAACTACAAATTAATTTGTGTAAAAACTGGAGTTACAAAAAACCGAAAATCAGTTTTTTGATCATCCAAATGAATTTTCGTACGACGAAATTCGTCTTTTAGTACAAATCTGCATCAGCAGTTTGATTGCTTGTAGGTATATTTAATAGGCAACTTGAAATAATTAAAAACACTACTTACAAATCTATTAAACTCGATTTGCACGGTCAAAACACACGCTTAATAGTTCTAGTGCCAGCCGCAGCCTCATGAACTTGCATGATTGCAATCGTCCCAACATAAAATAAATTAAATAGAAGTCGAATCCACGGTTCTAGTCGTGGTTTATAAACGTTTTTTGCTATCATTAACGTCCGTCAAAGTGTGTCAATATATGTATATGTATATGCTGTTATCCTAAGATCCACTCGCTATGCTCCTGACATTAGACTCGTCGCCCACTGATGGGACGACTCGGCAGAATATACCTTAAACTTACGGTATTATAGTTAGAATTGCAATAATAACTTGTCGTAGCTACAAAACCAAAACTGCGGCATGCTTAGTGATACAGAGTCGCCCGCCTCTGGCATACTTCAGCAACCACGGGGATGCTTCGAGAGCCTTCGGGATCTTTGGGCAGGCTTCGGCACCCCGTGTGCGACTATGCTACATCTACACGGCGGAACTGATGAGAGAGGCTAGGTGCGAGCATGATGTCGCGATGGAATGTTTCGACGTTCCCTCGGGATACCACGTCATGTTACACCGCGGCATAATTGCCGTCAGTTTGCACTTGTATGTAGGGATGGCGAAGGATTCCCTGCCGTGTTATCCCGTCATTGGGCGCCAGGCCTTATGCTTCCTCCACTTACCTCAGTCTTTACACACTCTTTTACATTCTTGTTACGTTTGATCTAGCCTTTTTAAGGACTATTACTCACTAATACTAATATTGCTAATACTAATCTATTCAAGATAAGTTATCTGAGGTCAACCTTCCCTTTCGTTTCAATATACATATCTCCATAAATTTGTACTGCACTCCTTTACAAATGACCAACCGATCAAAGTAATCCCTTTTCTATCCTAATTACTGTCATCATTCAAATCACAACTCTTCCTTATCGCACACGCTATTTGTTATCACAAAGCCGTCGTCACTCCCACGTTATTTACCCTACTTTCGTACTTTTGTGCTATACCTAACATTCACTGCCATAACTTCGGTTTGAAACCAGTACGATCCGATGAAAATTATAATAGGTACGTTGTACTTTTGAACTGCTGAACACTTAGAAGGTGATGATCATAACCACTATAATATAGTAAAGGGATGCTGCTACCTACATTTGTAAGAAATTAAGATAAAGAACAATTGAGTGTACATACCAGTCCAAATATTTCCGCCGACTAGTGTTTTTCGTTCTCCAGACGATCATTATCCACAACACAACACTGACATGTACTATTGTCACCTTTGCTTGGTCTCTATATTGTCACTTGACATGCTATGACGTCACTACACTGCACTGGGTATTATTTCTGGGCTCTGCAACAAATGAGGAAATAGATTTTTAATAAAAATAATTTGTTCAAGTTTGGTGTCTAAACATAAATAAATAACGTACACACTGTTGAGTGTGATAGCCCCGCACACACACACGCAACGAAACCCTGTGTCATGGGTGCCATGGACACACACACAGACAACCACAAATTACACCCAAAGGTACGAGAGAAATAGATGTAGGCCTTAGAAATATTTCTCTCGGCCCGGGAATCGAACCTGGGACCTCTGCGTGGCAGTCCGGCATGGTAACCCTTCGGCCACGGAGGCAATTATAAACAGTCGAATAGATCTCAAAAGTTTGTGGAATAACATCTACTTGCCAAGTTTTACTTAAAGGGGTTAACGGAAAGTGGATGAAATCCAATAAATGATCCGAGGTGAAATATTTTATTACTCTCTTTCCAACAAAAAAGAATTATCGAAATCGATTCATAATCGCGTAACTTACACACAAATTAAAAAATTAAAAAATGCAGTTGAATTGAAAACTTCCTCCTTAATTCTTTTTTTTTTAATAATTCTTTCGTCGAATAGTTTTTTGTTTACAAAAGTGATTACAATTTCTTTTATTATTAACTTATTCTTAACCATTCCTCCAAATTGTGTAGTTGATATGTGTTTATTAATTCAATAGTAGTCTACTATTATTACTTGAGATCACTCAAACTTGCACTTGTCCTATGTCCCAAATTTTAAAAGATTTTATGAGTACTTGTGTGACAAAACTCCGTGGTAGTGACCCGTTTAGCTTTTGCAGGTCGTCTCGATCGATGTTTTTTGAAATAAATGTTGTAAGTGATTATAGTGTACAATTGTTTATTTACAAAGATCAACCCCTAGAGTTTCTTTCTCATTCTTCTTAAGGGAATCTACCTTACGAATGAGCTAACGATTTTATAAATGCAAATTGCTTATCTATGTACCTAATAAAGATTATTTGACTTTGACATGACTTTGCAAAAAGCACATAGAGGAATAAGTGAGATCTGCTAATTCGTTCCGTAGCTCAAGTGGGACAGCGGTTAGCCCCGGTCTGGTATAAAGGTGCCGGTTTGAATCCAGCTGGATCGAAGGAATTTTTCTGTATTTCTTCGATCTTGTATCAATAATAACACTAAACTAGTGCAGTTTTTTCACAAAAAAATATGAATATTATGGTATTAAAAACATGATATTCAACAAAATAGATAAGTTAATATGAAATTATTCTGGAAACAAATTTAAGAAGTCATTAGAAATTCGCATTAGTTATAGGCAACTCACGACACACTCGTGTGAAAGTCTATTAAATGTTCTAGCAAAAAGTAATCACAACAATTCTCCGATATTGTAACGATCGAACCTAAAATCAAAAATACATCTTTCTTTCTCACGGACAAAATTGGGAATAACGAGTCACCATAACATTTTTGGCATTTCTCGATACTTTTTTTGGCAAACAAAACTATATTCGCTCACGATCTCGGTCAGGCTAAAGTAATCCATTTCAAATTGATGTTATCACTGTTTACCTCATATCGATATTTGGGATTAGAAAGTTCGATGAATCGATTTCTTTGTGTCTAAAGGGCGCTCGTTTTATAAGTTAATTTAGTGGAAAGTTTATTACTAAAACTCTAGGTTTGAAATACATATTTTTATAAAGAGGTAAATAGGGGAACAAATTAATATTATATACATATTTAAGTATTCAAAACAATTTCAATAAAAACCCGCTAGTTCGTGTATTATTAAATAATAATGATATGATTTAAGCATAAGATGTTAGTTTTGACAATATTATCTCAATAACAGGCAATTAGAGTTTCCTACAAGAATGCATAATTGCTTTTTGTATGTACATCGCAGCTGGGTGCCCAATTTACCGGATTACTTGGGAATGTTTTGACGGACCTACCAATTTGGGAATCGCAACCACTTTCATTGGTTGTTTGTGGATTATTTTGTTATTATAAAAACTTGTTTAGGAACACAACCTGGAAGTAAAATGATTAAGATTTAATTTGATGTCTACCTGAATGATTTAGAAACCCAATGAGATGGAAAAGCAGTCGAATCTTAATTTGATGTTCAATTCCAGATACAGAAACCCCAACATGTACGAAAGGTACCATTAAAAAATTGACATTGGAAGGTTTTACTTAACATGTACAGCGGATTTAAATTTTAAAAGCGCACCTATTTTACCATTTTTTCGCTCTTCAATCTTAAATACTATATTACTTTTAGGTTTAGTATTTTTTATCATAAAAAGTGTTCACTAAGTTATATTATTAAAATACATAATTTCATAGACTTTATTCAGTGTCGTTAAATAAACCTTTATACGTTTGTTATAATAAGATTCCACTTTTGTACGAAATTTAAAAAAAAAACCTGTTTTTTCTTCGTCATATTTTGTGATCATGCAAACCCTAGTTGACCAATGTTGTACGGAAAGCATTTAAAACACCGTAAGCTGACGTAGGAATGCTACAGCTTTAACAATAAGCTATTCAGACATTTTTTAATGTACAACAACTTGAAAGTACATCGCGCAAAGAAACCTTTTGATCTTTTGAATGTAGAATAGCAACCGCATGTTTTTTTACAACCCATTTGTTGGGAAATGTTAATTGAGTAGAAGTTAGAACATATAATGTTCGCCAAACGGCGTTTTTTAGGTATTCATCACGGACACAGTAATTATTTTTTTATCTATAATATATTTGAGTTTAGAAAATATTTACCTACACATTACCAAAATTTTACTTAAAGTGAAGAATGGCTACATAAAAATTTTACAAATGTAATATTAATTTGCTATAAAATTTGACATGCTGACCTTTTTTTAATAACCAGGCCAATTTTTTTAATATTTTTTTATAGATTTTTACTTTAACATAGTTAATTGATTTTATAATACATCATTATCATCCAACCCATTTACATGTCCCACTGCACGGATCTCTAAGCCGAGGCCCTGCCACTTTACCTATTTCTACTGCCGAGCAGTAATGTGAGTATTACTACGTTCCGGTTTTGTAGGGTAAGGGTGCTGGTGAAATTACAGGCACATGAGACTTGTCTCAACTTATGCCTTAAGGTGACGGGCGCAGTGGCAGTGCCTCACATATCTTTGTGATTTCAAGCCCAGAGTCGCACTGCAAATGTTATGGACAGGCGTGTCGCGTACCACCAGGCGCACGAATCGTTCGTTCCGTCACTTCGTAGGTATCATAAAAAATCGGAACAAATAAATCACCGTTTTAGCTGACTCACGGACTCTGTAAACGGTGATCGTAGGACGAACCGTACTACTGGTAACGGTGCCTGTGTGTGACCAATCACAGCCTGATACATGGAACATTGAAGATCGTTTATGTCTTTAGGATATTGCAAAGCAATAAAATAAGTATGAGTAGACTCTTACTCTTCCGACTTGACGCCATGAAGAGGTGCTATAGATGTTATTAGTAGGTACTTTAGTATTATACAGCAAATCCCTGCGACACGAAGGAAAAGTACTATAAATAACGTGCATATAGTAAGTTATACGGCATTCAAAAGGTTTTAAAAAGTTGCTTGCCTCACATGTGAATTGAACAGACCAAACATGAAAAAATAATAAACAGGTATTTGTATTTTGTAATGCCGATCGAAAGGGTCAATTAAAATAAAACAAGATCTAAGAAGCTCTCTAAGCTTGTCATCAATTAATATAACACAACCGCGGCTATATTAATAGTTTACTTTTCAATCCTTGTCCGAGAGTCAGATTTCACTAAGAATACTTAAGCCAGTCTGAACTGGAAAGGTTCGTTTCCCAAGTTGCTTGAATCGGTAATCGAACTTGAACCTCTCATAGGACCCTAACCGCTCAACATTACGGTCACATACGTCGTCCATTTGTAAAAAAATGTTTTGTAAACAATTAGATTTTTTATTTATTATGGTGATTCCTCTTCTTTTTCCTGCCTTTTTCCCATTTTATTTGGAGTCAGACGTCCTTGCACGTCGGCGCCAGGACGCTCCATCCTGGGTTGTCGTTGGTGAGATATTCAGGGCGTTTAGGTCTTTCTTGACATTGATCCTATATGTAAGGTTTTGTGGGAATGTTTAATACCACCTTTACGGAATAAGTTTTTTCTTTTCTGCTTATATGATCGTACCAGCGTAGTCGTTTTCTTTAAGCTTCTATGCCACTGGAGCCAATTTAAATGATCCTCTGAGGTACTAATTGCGGACTTAGTCGTGGATTATATTTTTAATATTCAGAACAAGAAAGAGAAATTTAAACGAAAATTGAGAACATACCATCTTAGTATAGATGTAGTAAACAATAGAAACATTGCAATACAAGTAAGTGTGCAGCCAACCATTGTGTGAGTATTGGCTAGTTAACTCGTTGAAGCAACATAAAACACTTGAAACCTAATGGAATAGAAAACAATTATAACTGTTTTCTTGAGTATAAAAGTCTTTAGATTTTCAAGAAGATACACCTTTAATGCATTAGTACTGTAAATCTGTTTGTGGACTAAAACGTTCTTAGTGGAAGTCCGTGCCCGGATTTTACGAATGTATTTTAATTAAAAATGAATAAATATGTTATGTATTGTCTACGTCTCGTACATGAAAAAATGCCATAATCTTATCTGTGATACGGCAGAAAAAGTACTACAATACTAACTAGTGACGCAACGTATATAGACACGGAAACAGATGCCAAAAGTAAATCTTAGCAGAAGCGGAAGCGTAGACGGAATACACAGACGTAATATAGGTACTACACAGATCTCAACCGAAATAGTTCCAGACAGGGCTTGTTTTTGGTTTCATAATTGCATTTAACACACCGAAACTACCGATTCAAGTATCATTATGAAAATTGCGGAAGCAGAAACGGAAACAGAAGCGTGCGGAACATCCGCGACACGAATTGTTAGTTACTAATTTCATTCTGTGCCTGTTCTATTTAATTTACATAGTAAAATACT